ATGCGGAGGGTGCCTGCAATCAGAAACGGAGGGACAGTCCTCTGCACACATGGATGCAGAAACCATTTCATTTGTATGTGATTGTGACAAAGACGACGGCGGCTACAGCCAAGTGTAACAGTGTTTGTGGTTGTGCAAAGGAGAAGGTCGCAGAGTGTCGGTACATTGCGTTGCTGCAGAACGGGGCCAGAGGAATGATCTTCGACATAAAAGAGATTGCGGACAGTTTGTCGTGGCAAGAAAACGGCATCATTTTGTAAGAAATCAGTGACATCAGTCATAGCATGGACCATGGTGCCGTTGTTCCACAGCTCCCAGTAATCAGAGGCATGCACAATGGCCATGTAATGGCCAGACCCGTGCACAATGCAGGCAGAGATGTGGGATGGAGGATTGAACCACTCACCTGCTCGAGCATTGCGCAGTTCAAGTTGACGGTCTCTCATTGCTACTTGTAAACATGGTAAAGCCTCCTACGCTGGTATAATTACAATCCTCCGGCTGTAGTTGGGGAAGATCAGCATCAAGTTGAAGGGCGACTGCAAGGAAGCCTGATGGTGTATAAAACGTCCGGTGCAGAATGTGAAGACAGATATTAGTTGCCATCAGACCACAGAGATTGGTGAGATTCTCAGACTGGTGTGTCGGATGCTGGCCAACAATCTGCAGATCACCCAGCTGGTGTTGCAAGCCCAAAATATCTTGCGTTGTTCGCTGGTCAGTCACTTGCAGATCACCCATGTGGTCTGTGTGTGGAGGGGCACAAATTTGTGGTTCGTCCAAATGATGCTGGTCAGCCATTTGCAGATTCCCCGTGTGGTCTACGCCTTGTGGGGTTAACTTCAATCCGGGCAGATCATGTTCCAATCCCTAAACATTTGGGGCCGCATCCTGAGCAGAGACTGTCCCGGGAATTGGGAGTGTACTCTGGGCAGCGACCACATCCTGTTGTACAGGTGGAACATCTAACGCTGAAGGGCATAAGACATGGTGTCGTGGCTGCCTGCAGGTAGCTGGACTGTCTGCCGGAGGCATAAGAGTGGATACTGCCGTTTGGAACAAAGGAACCGCAACAGCCTGTGGAGCAGGCACAGAGAGAATTGAGCCAGACAAAGAAACAGGCTGCTGATCCCCGGACAAGTGATGATGTCGCGGATGTCATCGATGATACACAATAAGTGGAGTAGCAGTGTTGCAAACAGAAGATGAACATGTCCCTGTCAACAAAGGTGGAACAATGGGAACAATGGAAACCGGAGAGTAACTTTTGCAAGCGAGACCGTGGAGGAGATGGGGGTGGCGAGGAGGAACGCAGCCGTTTGCGGCCAAGCACAGAAAGAGATGAAAGGGGAGCGGATTGGGCAGGATTTCGAAACAAAGGATGCGAGTGTTGGAGAGAATGTGATGTTCTTTGCGTTGGAGCTGCGGTAGAGGAAGCTGTAGCAGCAAAAAGTGTAGTACGGGTGACTGCAGCAGAGGAAGCTGTAGTGAGAACTGCAGTGGTGGAAACTGCAGTAGCAGAAACTACCAGAAGGAAAGCCGGAGCTGTAGAAAGTGTAGAGGTGGAAACTGCAGCATCAGAAATTACTGCAGCAATGGAAACAGCTGTAGCAGAAACTGCTGGAGTGAAAACCAGAGCTGTAGAAACTGCAGCAGTGGAAACTGCAGTAGCAACAGATGAGCAAGCAGGAGCAGGACAAGAGCGACGTGAGGCAAAGAAGAAAGTGGATGATACAGGGGCCACCGCAGCATGCGTCGGCACCACTGAGAGAGACGCATCACATACGTAGGATAGTGATGCTGGCGGGAGCGCATGTAGCGGGTCCACCCTTTAGCAAGGGTTGGTGGGGAATGCCCACGAGAAAGCATGCGACGAGTAAGCGTTGTTGCCGCAGTTCGAAAATCCTGCCAAATGTTGCAGATTTGTTCGAATCTGGTCAATTGTCCAGTGAACACACCCGCCGGTCAATTGGCGGTCGCACTTGGATAACGAATGACAGGGAAATCCCAAGCAGCCGGTTTATCAAACACGCTCGTGAAGCGAGCCATCAGAATGGACCCGTAGTTGCATACCTAAAAAGGTACACGAGCCATCTGTCGCTGTAAGTTCCTTCCACTCAAGCCCATAGTGCTCTGGAGGAAGAGGTAATTGCCCCCATGAAAGAACATCATCAATGAGGCAATAAGTGAAGGTATATCGCTGAGCGGCTTGAAGATCGTGTTGACGAATGTCATCAACAAAGCGTGCTTCATCCCAATACAGTGTCAGATTATAAATTTATGGGCCAGCATTTGTTCCCATTGGAATACCGATAATTTGCTTCCGAAGTGTGCCATCTCTAGTGTACAGAAAAGTGTTTTGTACAACAAAGCGAAGATGTTGGAGAATCTGGGGAACGAAAAGGGTGTTCGGGCCCGAATCGTTCGTCCATTGGCCACAATGAGGTCCTCGAATAGTCATGTTGAGGGCACTGCAGCGCGAATGCGTGCGAGTATGCCGAAGGGCAAAAGCATGGGCTTCATCAAAAGTTTTTGCCACATTATTCAGAATGCGGTCATGAGAGAGGTTGGTGTACATTGTGGTAAAATCAACGATGCAAGGAGAGAGGCCGCAAAAAGACGATGAATTGTTTTTCAGGTCAATCGCCACATCACCAGCACTCTGAGCGATCCAGAACTGTCGAACACCAACCTGTTGATAGAGCTCAGTACCTTTCTCGCGAAGAGTAAAGATCACTCCTTGAAAAGCAGCACTGAGATACGGCGAAGTAGTTGTTGTGCCAGCCAATGGTTTGTGAGGAGGCCGTTCATGAATAGTGCAAATTGTTGGACGAGGGCAAGCGTGTGGGGGTATTCTACGAAGAGCTGGAGGAGATTTGTGAGCTTTCAGCACGTAGTAAAGGTAAGGTAGGGTATCAGTATGGGTGTAGCCCCAACGGTGATTGCATCTTGCATGGCGGTCAAAGGACATCAGCACCAGATTCATCAGGACGAGTATAAGTGGGACTGTCCAAATGGGTGGAAAGACTAAATAGATACTAATTCTTGCAGCAAATTGCCAAATTGTGCGATGTTTTGTCCACAGGGACAATGGCGAAGTATTGTTGAAGATGGCGCAAGGAGGCATGTATAGAACGAAGTGAACATGGCTGGCTCAAGTGATTGGAGAACGAGACTGCATTGGATTGACAATGTGCAAGGATTGCAGAACGCCAGCTGTTCAACTTCTGAGAAAGAGACGAGAAAGAAGAAGATCGAGAATGCCCAGCCAACAACCTTTTCTAATTCGCAATGTACTCATCAAGTCCAATTGCCAATGCCTGGAGCACATCGGCAGTTTCCCCATTCAGGCGATACTTCGACCCTTCTTGAAACAGCTTGCGGAGGCTAGCTATCATCGGAGATGATATCGTAGTCAACAGACACAACATGGCCATCAACAAGATCGGAACAATGAGGAAAGGCTCTGCAGCATTCGCAATTTGAGGAGTCGGTAAGGTCATGCCAGGAGTAACACTCAAGGCCACATCAGTGAAGTTACAAAATTGGACACGTGTGGGTGGCATCAGTTTGTCACATAAACGAAACTGTGTGGCTGCTTGAGAGTCTCTCTCTCTCTCTCTCTCTCTCTCTCTCTCTCTCTCTCTCTCTCTCTCTCTCACACACACACACACACACACACACGCACAACATCACACAGACAAGCCCACACACAGGCTATTCATGCACATACAACCTCCCCATCTTTGACAACCATGATCAATAATGTATACTAAATTGAGAGCAACCAAGGACCGCAGCCTGGTATTTGCTGTTGTATACTAAATTGAGAGCAACCAAGGAGCGCAGCCTGGTATTTGCTGTCGGCATTGCAAGGACAGCCTATCTCAAGGCTTCCTGAGACCGGGTTTGTGCGCCTACACACTCCTCTGAAGCTTCCTCCCTCTCTCCCTCTTATTTGGCACATTAGTATTCAGGACAAAATGTCTGCAACTTCTGCGGCTCTAAAATCCCAGAGTCATTCAAGGACAGTGCCCTCTGCCCACCAACCTCCCTTGGCCCTCCCTCCCTCTCATCTGCCAGATTGCCATGCAAAATCAAATGACTATTAACTTGTTTGGAACTCTCTGGTGGAACTATGTTTGGAACGCCTCCAAGGCAGATGGGATCAAGTGTGTGCAGCTTTGATCGAGCACCGAGTTTGTTAGAACTTAGAAGAGCAGAGGCTGCAGATCACAAATTATGTTTTTGAATATTGAAGGATTCTGAAAATCCTGAAGAAAAAAAAAAAAGAAAGAATCCCATCCCAACTCCATTGCCATCTTCCCCTGTAGACCTTGGGAGTGTCTTCCAGAGAAAAAGACCTGTTCTACATGGGTCCTTAGTCCAAACAAATAGTACTCTGAGCCTTCAGGTAAGGTGTTTATGGTCTACATACTGTGGAAGCTTCCAACCGTTGTGTCGAACTATTTCACTTCTTTGTAGATTGCTGGGAACGTAATCGCTTATATAAAGGTTAAGAGTCATTCAGTCCTAAAACTAGAACCCCGCGCCGCCAGGTCGGTTGCGACCTTGCATCCACACATCTGTGCTTACGGCCTACAGTGCGTGGAAACCTGCAACCCTTGCCACAAACTACTTCATTTCTTCATTGGCTGTGGGGACATAATTGTCGCTATAGAAGTTGAGAAGACGGTGATCGTTCGGGAGCAGAGACTTCCTCCCTCCTGTGTATGAACCTTAAGTGCTCGAGCCTCTCTTTCTTTTTTCCTCTTCTCTGCAATAATAGGGATTCGCATATGGATGATGTGATGGAATGTGACATATCTGGGAGCATATAGATGAACACATTCAAAATCAGTAACCCCCCATTACGTAATGGCATGCCCACAGAAATAACAGGAGGGGACTTGCATCCCTAACGTACAGAACACCATTCCCCACCTTGCAAACTCTCTCATTCCCTCCCTGTCCCAACCTCCCTCCCTAACATGATCTACCTGAAAAGGCTTCTTCACCACCTCTACTTCTGCTCCTGGATCGCCTTCGTCACCCGGTTTACGCTTCGGCTTTCCTTCACAGTCCGCAGCCAGATGACCTTGCTGCCCACATAGGAAACAAGCGTCCTTCCCCTGAGGCAGGAACACAATCTGCACAATTCAACCACCATAAACAAAATGCTCAGTGTCCGCATAAGTGCATGAGACTGATAAACGCTCCTCTTCTTGTACAAGTGCCAGGGGGCTTGCATCGCAGCTACAGGCTAGAACTGCAGCAACTCGAACACCTCCCTCGAATTGCTGGACGGAGTGATTTTTTAGCACTTTGAAAAGATATGTTTACCTGATTTTTCACACTGAATACTTTGAGATTCTCTTCGTCGTGAAAAAAGGTGTAGACGAATGAAAGCTAATAGAGAAAGATTTCGAGCTTTAAAATTTAATCAAATATTTGTGGAGTTGATTATTATTCATTGAAAATATTTGTAGACTCAACACGCGGTTGATTATTCTTCTTGAAAATACAGACTATGTTGTGGACAGCAGCTCCGGACTCTCCAGTTAATTAGGGATGTCAGGGGTTATGAACCGAATGAAAGCCAGCAGAGAAAGATTTCGATGGAATTTTTGAGTTTAAATTGATTTTTTCAATTTTTTTAGTGGAGTAGATTAATAATCATTATCCTTCTTGAAAATACAGACTAGTGGACAGCAGCTTTTGGACTCTGCAGCTAATTAGGGATGTGGGGGGCTGATTAATAATCCTTCTCGAAAATACAGACCATGTTATGGACAGCAACTTTGGAATCTACAGCTAATTAGGGATGTGGGGGGCTACGATCTAAAGGTGACTCCAACGACTACCGTCTTCCCCCCGAACATAACGCGCCCTGATCATGAATGTATACAAACCATCTTTCTGGTCTGATGAGAAGCGGTTAATGGAAGGCCGTTGTTCCTCATCATGAACATCATAAAAGACACGACTCTGTTCCATCACCGGTGCTACCTGGCCCTCATTCCCTAGCATTCACCCCTTTTCTTTGGGCTTTTGAAGGAGGAGACACATTTGTTAGAATTTTATGACCCAATATTCAGAAATTGATTTTTTATTTGGCCTTGTTTGTGACACACCTTTTTTTTCCAGAATGCATCCTATAACTTTGTCATCATGGTAAAAATGTACAATGCGGCGGTAAAAATTTAAAATGCGGCGTTTTACCATGGTGGTATGTTCATAATAAGGTTGCGGGTTTAATTCCCACAATCCCCAACATGAACATACCACCAGTGCTACCTGGCCCTCGTTCCATAAGATAGAACTAAGCACCAAGGACAAGGACAGACGTCTTTGCCAAGTTAAAAAAGCAAAAAAAAAAAACAAAAAAAAAGTATTTGCCAAGTTGCTAACACTGGCTTGTGGTAAGCAAAAGACCTGTAACCTGGATAGAGTGATACAAGAAACAGACTTCACTGTCCCTAGAAATGCTAACATTTGCTAACATATTAGGGCGGCAGAGACATGGCCTTCGGTGTTCTCTCTGAGCATTGACGGCATTGCTGGAAAATCTCGATGGGGAAGCAAGGTAGAGTGGNACGGCATTGCTGGAAAATCTCGATGGGGAAGCAAGGTAGAGTGGACTTTTGGGTGACATGTGGTTCGACCCACATGATGTCAAGCTTTTATTGGCGATGCAACTGTGTGTCCCAGTGGGAATCATGTGGTATGTGCTGACTGGGTTGCACATGCTGGGTTGTTTTGAGTCCGACAAGCGCACGATGCAGGTTAACGACTCAGTCTGATACCTTTCAAGGGCCTCCAGCATTTTGTTCCTTGGCTTGGAGAACGCTGAGTTTTACAGTCTTATCCATTTTGTGGGCCCAATGGAATTTCAGGCTCAAATTTTAACTAAGTCTTTCTCGAGCCCACCCCGACCTTTCCTCAAACGACTACACGGCAATGGAAATGAGCACCCTTAAAGAAGTTTTAGACGAGGAGCTGGAGGAGTAGGAGAAGGACAAATACGGAAAACAGGAATGAGCAGAAGGGGGGGACGGGGTACACAAGGAAAACACTCAGAAACAACCTACTGCTTGGTTTAATCACATTAGCAGCCAAGAATGCTGCCTGACCAAGCAATGAAAATAAGACATAACACTAACTGTTATGCCAAGGTTACACACTCACTCTGTCCCAAGGTGAGCAGACTTCCATTCAACCTTAGAGCTCAGAGGGGTTAGAGCCTTCGCAAATGGGGTCGACAAATAGAGCGCGGTCTTCGCTTATGCGCCCCTTCAGCATGTTGGTCATCTCTGGTACAGTCTTCCACACCAGATAGTAGCAAGCGATGCCCATCAGTTTACCGCCGTACCCAGTTGATCGTTCACACAGGTGGTTTCTGCTGCCAAGAAATCCTTTCCCTACCAAAGACGTGAAGGACCACCCACACAGTCTCAGTATGGCCCATGTTGGAGACGAAGCAAGGATCTAAATAAAGATGGGCTGGAAACTTGACAAAGGGAAGTTCTTCAGAATAAATAAATCAGAAACAGAACATTGAACATTCTGTTTTTCAGATGAACCTTGTACATGTGAGGGTTCAGAGAATCACCCAAGAAGGGTGGTATTATGATTCCTCACTTTTCCCAATACTGCGGAAGGTAGTTGCAGTTTAACCCTTCCTTTTCACTCGAAAGAGGGAGGGGGGGGGCAAGTACAAAGGACCACTGCCTTTCCAAGCTGTTGGCCACGGGAAGGTACCCGCGAGTCTCGGAGGTGGGAAACAAAAAGTAGGCCGGCCCGGTACCCCAAGAATGCAGTGTAGGCTATATTCCCAATTTCCTACTTTTCCCAACACTGTGAAAGGCAGTGGCAGAATACGGGGACAGGGCCGGCCTACATTTCGTTTCCCGCCTCTGAGACTTGCACGTACCGTCCCACGGCCAACAGCTTGGAAAGGTAGTGGTCCTTTAACAGAACAGAACTAGTCTGCAGGTGTACTTGCCCCCCCCCCCCCCCCCCCCCCCCTCCCTTCTTTTGAGAGAAAAGGAAGGGTTAAACTGCCACTACCTTTCGCAGTGTTCGGAAAAGTGGGAATATAGCCTACACCGCATTCTTCGGGGACAGGGCCGGCCTACTTTTCCTTTCCCGCCTCTGAGACTCGCGGGTACCGTACTGCGGCCAACATCTTGGAAAGGTAATGGTCCTTTAACAGAACTAGTCTGCAGGCGTACTTGCCCCCCCCCCCCCCCCGCCCCCCAACCACCACCACACACACACAATAAAAAGGAGTACCTGACTTGAAGATAAGCAACATACAAGAAACTTGAAGAAAGAGAAAAAACATTATCAGGAGTGCTTCCAGCTTGCATCCTTTCGAGCATAATGATCAGTTATCAATAGAGTGTCTATAGCATTGCTGCCTAGTTTACTTAACCAGTTGACACAATGAGGATCGCCGCATGATGTTAAACCACCAGTACATCTGCACCTCATTTGCAGACAAAGGCTCTCCCCCTGCGAGCCAAGCTTTGCCAAGACCCCGGCACGGCATGCACTTTTTCTTTTCGGTTGGATCTCATTTGCAGACAAAGGCTCTCTCCCACTGCGAGCCAAGCTTTGCCAAGACACCGGCACGGCACTTACTTTTTCTTTTCGGTTGGATGGCACAGCCAGCCATTTTGGTCCAGTATCCCCGAGCCTCCGAGATTTATGGATTGGCTCGATTTCAATTATCATGCTTGCCTGAGCAATGTACTGGCGGTTTAAGGCAACTGTGTTTCCCACTCCCACAAAATGCGCAGGACCTCAATATCATAATAGCCATATTCTCAGAGATCCTAAAAAAAAACTTCACAGAGACTCACCACAACACCATAGTTTGTGGCAGAGTAACATTTATCGCATCATCATGATTTGAATACAGGGTCTCCACACAGAATGGACGCTGCCTCACCTCCCGAAGAATGGTGAAGTGTATCTCGTGGGTTGCAAGAGAAAGCATAATGAGATCTGCATCCTGCAAAATTGCAAAAATAAAAAGGTTCAGATGTCACTGACAATTCACCAAAGACAAATTGTCAAAATGTAAGCTTTATAGGCCTCCAACCTGTGACATTCAACGACGAAAAGACTCCCCTTTCTCTATGATTGGCCAATTCGGGAATATCTGCAGTCAAGAAAATGTACGGCAACCCTTGTCCTGCGATTCCTCACTTCCACACAACAATAAGGATTCACACAGTGCATGTGGCCATCGGCGAAGATCTCATAATCAACCGCCAAGGAGGTTGGATGTTATCAAAGAGCGGCATATGACAAGCATACAAGCATACAAAAGACTCCGAAAAAAAGTGGATACCGAACAGTGGCAGCTCGCCATCAACAAGTACAGGGGCAACTCACTTGAAAAAGTGGATACACATGTGAGTGTATACAGAAATTCAAAACGAATTAAAGTAACCAATCAGACGAACAGATGTGATCACATGACAAGAGCCACAGAGGGAACCAGTACAGTCTCAATCCAGCAATGAGAATCAATGTGTTATGAGAGGCACTCAGGAGAGCGGCAACGAAAGAAATAGCAGCAACCCACCCTGTGTGGAGGAATGGTACAACCACGTAACTGTTCGTGAACAGAATGTGAATTCAAGTGCTCAGGGAATCACAGATGGACACATCCGAGGAAACAACGACTGCCTCGGGAGGTTCAATCTTTGTAAGTGTCCACTGCATCAAATGGAGTCGGAGCAGGCAAAACTGCATAGCAATCCACAGATGGGCCTGGCAAGGCGTGAGTAGAACACACGAGGTTCTATCAACTACTCTTTGCTTTATGAAGACACACTACCAGAAAGAAAGCTGGTGAACTTTCCTAGCGACAACTCCTCTTGAAAGCCACTATCCTGGTTGTGTTATACATTAACAGAGCTGCCCGGCAAAACGTAAGCAGAGAGGGAGAAGAGGAAAAAGCAAACGAGGGGGCTGTGACAAACTGTTTCGTCAGAGTTTAATTGGTGGCTCATCCTGGTTGTGTGATACATTAACAGAGCTGCCCGGCAAACCGTAGGCAGAGAGGGAGAAGAAGAAAAAGCAAACAATGGGGCTGTGACAAACTGTTTCGTCAGAGTTTCATCAGGAGGCTATGGGCCTTGCCACACCACTCCTGATTTGGAAAATTTTTGGGAGTGCTCCCGAAAGTGAAAACCCGCTCGAGAGTGCCTTTCGCCACACTACACTCTCGACCGCGCCGCGCTCCAAGTCTGAAAATGTCAGTTGCCACATGTGGACACAATTGGTGTGAAGCAGTCTGGCAGAAGTCCGCTTGTCCCTTCCAGCTGCAGTCCCGAAGCTGGGACGAAACACCGAGGAGCGAAGGAGGTCTCTCGAAAAGGCAGCTTTGCAAGCGGCGAGTTTGGGAGTGCTATTGGGAGCCCCATCCTGAAAGCCCCCGAATTCGACCTGACATATCAAATTCGGGAGCTGGTGTGGCAACATTGCACTCCCGAAAACACCACTTTTGGGAGTAGTGTGGCGAGGCTCTATATTTATATATTGTCAAGTTGCAAGTGTGCGAACAAGCAAGAAACCATGGTTTACCTGCAAGCCTTACAACCGGTTTCACCTTACGCACACAAACCTGGTACGGAGGATCAGATTCAATGTATCAGAGATCCCATTGGCAAAAACCCTGCACACAACAAACTCAGGGACGGACTTCGCATACAATACCCAATCCTGACAAATATTGTTTTTAGTGCTTTTTACTGACGATATTCCTGTTCCGAACTGTGCCTCAGCTTGACATCCTTGTGCCAGTAGATAACAAGAAAACAGATTCCCTCCATCACACACAAAACCCATGGAACCCAAAAGTATATGCAGAACCGCAACAGTTCCCTAGTAATCGATACCCATGCCAGGGACCAGGGAAAAGTCCCAGAGTTTCATCATTCATCTAACATACTGGGATCTTGAAGCAGCATGGCGAACTCAACGTGTACAGAGGTCATCCCTGGAGACCAAGAGACACCATCTGGACTATCTGACCGGTAACCCACTTTCCCTGAGACAGGAGTCACCAGAGGTGGGGTTGAGTACCTACTGAAAAGTATCAGGCACTAAAGATGTGTAACCTTCTTGAAGGCTTGTAGTACTTTTCCAAAGGAAGGAATGGTTAACAACACCTTTAGGAAGAATAGTTTAAAATGGCATTTAATAGCAGTTTGGCAAAAGTGTGTGTGTGTGTGTGTGGGGGGGGGGGGGGGGGGGGGGGGGGGTTGGAATGGAGACAAGAATTCGGTTGGCGAAAACAGTTTACCAGACCAAAAGAGAGGTGCCACAGCGTCAATATCATGGCCCAAGACACATGAAGCAAACATCTAACATCAAATGCTCAAGAGATTGTGCTTGTGTGCACAACTTTGCATCTCTGTCCCCTTGGACAAGCGTGCAGCAACTGCCGACTCATAAGACCACATCTGTTCTCAGTCCTGTGCCGATATAGTCAAACCAGAGATATTTGGGATATCCCATGGCGCTGGACGACCAGTACTTCCCGGTGACAAAAGGAATGGTGACGCGAGCAAGTTGCACAATTGCAAGTTCTTTAGACCTTGCAAAGGAAGCATGTGGAATAGCCGCCAGGGATCAATCACCCTCAAGCACTACAGTGCACGACGCAGGATTGAAAAAAACAAACTGAGAGTCAGTGAATCGAAATGCATCTCCATCAACCCAGACCAGCCAGCGCTACAAACGGTTGTCAAGTGTCCTACGTCACTTTCCAAAATAGCCTGCCATCCCAGGACCAAGATTACGGGGACGACATATTTTTGAGGGCACGGAGAAAAGTCGGCATGCAAGGACAAACTCGTGACATGTCAACCAACTGCTCAATCAGTACAAGAATAATGAAAAGACCATACTGAACCCAAAAGCCTCTGCTACCCACTACAGCTTATTGTGAGCGATGAATTACACTATTGCCGCACGATGAGAAATACGCAGGATACAAGGAATGCAGGAGACGAACAGTGCTTACGGCTGCGCCAAAATTGACATCCAAAAATAAGCGTGACCACACCAAATGCTCAAAAATTACTCCTAAACAAATGGCCTGAGGAATACATGTGTCTTGGTCACCGCACCGTGACAAAAAAGGTATAATGAAACCACCAAAGGCCTATGCTCTCTGCCGCATCTGTCATGGAAGGGTAGCCACATTGTTGGCTACCGCAGTAAAGACCCATCGGTCATTGGAATGATAGCCAGCTAAGATAGCAACAACCATTGACCCAAGACCGGTGTAGGGAGACGAGTGCCAAATTGTGTCTTCAAAAAGACTCGATGAGCAATCCTGTGAAGGTGTATGCTTAGCTGAGACCATTCTCTGTCGGAAACGGTCAGATTACAGTCCAAACTGTCGTTTCTCCCAAACTGTGACTCCAAGGAAGGTCTGAGGTTCGTTGAGACGATCGACATCATTCTATGCCCCAAGCTTTTACAGTTGATACGGTTCCATGTCCCAGAAACTCAGCATTACAGTTCACGAGTGCCAGCAGTGCACGAGAGCCACAATTGCTTAACGTTCGCGCATATACAAGCAAGGGTGCGATTGCACACACCTTGATAAAATACAAGCAGGTGCAGCCAGCGCAGCTCCGCCCGCGAAAAAAGTCAGGAAGCAACCCCAATGAAGAATCTCACTTCACTCTTTCTGTCTCTGACTCTATGTTTTCTTTGTTAGTGTATGGCTGGTGCTTTCTGTATCACTGTTTTAGCTCTTGACGTCTTCTGTCTTTCTAAGTGTTTGTGGAAAGCAGAATAGTAAACAGCAATAGTCACAAACAGCAAGGTCATACACGGTCACAAACAAAATAGTAAACAGCAATGTATCTTCAACGATTCGAAGAACATTATCATTGTCACCGAGAAAGAGTAGAAAACAGGATCGCTAAACTTAAAACAAACCGGCCACAAACGCCATCCACATATTCCATTTCACCGATTCGATTAACAACAGGTCAAGTTATGTTGACCGGTCACACAGCCCTCAGCCCTCAGCTCTCTCTCTCTCTCTCTCTCTCTCTCTCTCTCTCTCTCTCTCTCTCTCT